CTCTGCTCACACCATTGCTTCACCTCTGCTCTGAAAGCTTGTTTCCCTCAGTGTGAAGGGAGGTGCATCGTGTCTTTGGTTTGGGTTTTAGTTTTTTAGCTGACTATAGCCATGATTGTTTCTTACCAGGTTGTTGTTGTTTTACAGTGTGTGTGTGTGTGTGTGTGTGTGTGTGTGTGTGTGTGAGCATTGTGTGTGCATGTGGACCAGGTTGTTGTTGTTTTAAAGTGTGTGTGTGTGTGTGTGAGCATTGTGTGTGCATGTGGACCAGGTTGTTGTTGTTTTAAAGTGTGTGTGTGTGTATGTGTGTGTGTGTGAGCATTGTGTGTGCACATGGGTGTGGCATGCTGCCCGTGCGAAGGTCAGAGCACCACTTTCAGAAATCGGCTCTTGTCTTCTGCCACAGATTCTGGAGGTCTAATTCGGGGTGTCAGGCTTGTAGCAAGTGCCTTGACCCACTGAGACATCTCACCAGTTCAATTAATAAATTAATTATGTGGGCTGGAGAGATGGCTCAGAGGTTAAGAGCACTGCCTGTTCTTCCAAAGGTCCTGAGTTCAATTCCCAGCAACCACATGGTGGCTCACAACCATCTGTAATGGGGTCTGGTGCCCTCTTCTGGCCTGCAGGCAGACACACAGACAGACTATTGTATACATAATAAGTAAATAAATAAATATTTTAATAATTAATTAATTAATTATGTGTACCACTACATCTGTGTGGAGGTCAAAGGACAGTTTTCAGGAGTCAGTTCTTCCCTTCCACTGTGAGAGTTCTGGGGACTAGACTCATGTCTACAGGTTTGGCAGCAAGTACCTTTACTGATCTCATGTAGTCCAGACTGGCTTTAGCTTTGGATGTGAAGCTAAGGATGACCTTATATTTTTGATCCTTTTGTCCCACCTCCTGAGTTCTGTGGTTATAGGTGTGCCCACAATGTCTGGTTTATACAGTGCTGGGGATTGAACCTGGGTCTTCATGAATGCTCGGCAAGCAATCTGCCATCCTAGCTACACCCTAGTCCCTGTCTTGTTGCTGTTGTTTCCTGTTTTGAGACGGGGGCTCTCTGAGTATCTCAGTTTAGCCTTTAATGTGTGGCAGTCTACCTGCCTCAACCTCCCTGGTGCTGGGACGACAGGCAAGGGTCACCAAGCACAGCCTCAATTTGAAGTTCTGTTCCCATAAGATCCTCTGAGGGCTGTGATGCGCCTCAGCATGTGAAGGAGTGTCCACCAAGCCTGACTGACAGTCAGAGTGCAATCCCAGGAATCCACATGACACAAGGACAGAACTCACTGCCACAAACTGCTGTCTGACTGCCATGTGCATGCAAGGCGGATGTACAAGGATACACACACACTAAGTAAATAAAAATATTTTAAAACGTTTGGATTTTGTCTTTTACTCCAAGATTCTTTTAAAATTATGTCTGTCTGTGTGTCTGTTTGCGGGTTTGTACCACTGAGCCACACCTTCAGGCCCTCACTGGGGGATTCCATGCCCACAGCAGGCCTGACTTCAAGTTCTCATCATGACTTCCCTCATAGAAGGACAAACGATAGTAACCTGAAAGCTAAAATAAATCCTTCCTCCCCTAAGCTGCTTTAGGGGTTGTCATAGCAACAGAAGGAAACCAGAACAGAAAGTCATTCAGTTGACCAGAAAAGATTCTGGTTTCTTAGAACCTGAAATTGCTTAACTAAACCAGGAGAAATTCTGTCTCCAA